TTTTTTAAAAAACATTTAGAGAGCTTTATTGATGCATTAAAAATACTCTAAATATTATTGAAAAATATTATAAATCATGTCATGTTATATCTTTTTAGTTATCGTTATTTATAGATTATTATAGAATTATTATAATCATCTATAGTATAGACAATTTGATGCTTTTGACCGTATCCAGTATTTAATTACCAACAGGTGAATGAATCGATCAGCATAGAGATGTAATTTTATTAGTGGATTTGGTCGTCTTTACCCATTTTGGATCGATCTCTTATTGCGAATTCGAACAGGACAAACTTTCGCCTGGTAAGGCCATGTGGCATGTGGCTCCAGAATACAACAAAAGTGATCCTGTTGGTGACCCAAATGTGTCCCCTGTTTCGCCCTTTTTTATTTTGTTGGACATGCATTTCCCTGTTTTGTAACATATGCTCTCCTCACGTCCTTTCCTCGTTTACTTTCTCTTTCCTTAGTTCATCCTAGTGTTATTTAAAAGCTTTTGAAACGAGTTGATAAGGTACCGCTTGATCGGTCATCGGTGCAATTGGTAGGTAATTTCTTATGTATCTATATGATTTAGTCTTGTCAGATCTTTCATATTTTATCAATATTTCTTCTTATAGTGGAGCCAAGAACTCATAAGTCCGTCAGATCTTTCATATCTTTATAGACGTCTTTTGAAATTTATATATTTAAAAAATAAAAATTATATGAATACATTCATCGTCTAAAATAGATAATTTCTCATGAATCTACATATCACAATCGATCGATCAAATAATCCCTTAGTACTGCATTTATCTTCGTTCGATTTATCTATAAAATAACAATAGCATTTGATATCTTCCCACGTATCAAATGATCACGTAAAAAATAAATTAAATAGTGGAACCCATCATGAACGTTATTTGTTTTTTTCTCAAAACAGGTTGTCTTTGATCGAGCGATAGAAAGACACGTCGATTTGCTATTAGGATAGTCGCACGATGTTGATTGGCGCGGACGTCACCGTCGCTGGCAGCTGCATCAACCCTTGTCACGCATCTCCAAATCCCAGATGTGTGGCCGAGATCAGGTTGTTGACTATTACAACAGAAGTAGGAATCCGAGGACAGGTTCAACCCGATTTGACCTCGAAACCTTCCCCCACCACCTGACTACCACCCAAAACACCGCCGTCCATCTTCTCCCATCCGCCGTCGATCGAACTCCGAGTGCGGAGCAGCACGCGATTTCCCCGCGGCACCCAACCGAAGTAACTGTTCATCGGACATTATAGCCCCTCGCTCGCTCTCTCTCCCTCTCGTCTCTTCTTGACGGTAAAATAATGCATAGATAAGCAAACGGATGGGGATGTGCGAGAGAGAAGAAAAGGAGTGTGTGGCTGTGAGCGTCACAGGCAAGAGCTTTCCAAGCCCATGCAGCAGCGCGTTACCGACAGTCCCCAGGGGCAGGGGCAGGGGCAGGGGCGCGCGCTCACACTCTGGCTCTCCCAACTTTTATGGCTGCCATTAAATCCCGTTCTAATGAGGACAGCCTAATAAATCCACCGATGGAAACGTAAATCTTTTTGGATCCCCTTTCTCGCTTCTCCCAGCTCTTCCTACTTTGCGGCCTTCCTTTTCTTGATCCGGGTTGGATGAGGAGGAAGCTAGCTTAGGTGATCCGGGCATCGGACCGCGGAAAGGTGGGGTTTGTACGTCTTCTTCCTTTCCCCGTGTTCCTGGATCTGTAGAGGGCATCCGACATGGGATTCTTGAGCTCCCTGTTGGGTTTCTTGGGGTTCGGAACTGGAATCGGCGTCGGGCTGCTCATCGGCTACTGCTTCTTCATCTACTTCCAGCCCACGGATGTTAAGGTAGGATTCTTGATCCCTTTCTCCGCCGCTTCCTTGATGACCTTTTTTTGGGAGATCTCTTCGCGTTTCCCGACCTTCTTGGCTTTCTTTCTTGAGGGTTTTGTGTTGCCTTATCGGATTCAGATTGCCGACCCTTTGCAGCAGAGAAAAGAAGTTCCCGTTGTAATGTTCCATCTTTCTTTCTCTGATGCTTTTTTCATCACCTCTAAGGTTTGCATCATCAGGTCGTAGAAATCCATCGGCGTAGTTTGGATTCATGAGATGTTCCCTTCCGTTCTTGTGGTTCATCAGGTGAAAATTGCTACTCTAGCAGGCTATGTCTTTGGGGAAATATCCAAGGCCCCCTTCGTGGAATCTTGCTCGATGTCTGCATGAGCACTGTAGGGGACGATTTGGAGAAATGGGGCGTGTTTTGCCAATAAATAGACACTCTATGCCTACTACCCAATTCCACCTCTAGTATTGAGAATTTAGAACTACAGTATGTGGTACATGTATATTTGTTGCCAAGAAAATAAATAATTCAAATTGTAGTTAAAGAACTTGACCTATGAGAAAAGATTGATGGCTAATTTGTGGTAAGGTGTGATAATAGTCTGCCAACTCGAGCAATATGTCAAAAGATAGCTGTTGGCATGTTCCTTTTATGTGTGCATTTCAGCTCTGTCAATAGATGTCATGTCCTTGTTATTTTTCCAGTATGCAAGTTGAGATACAAATATACTGAAATACTGATAGTGAAACAAATATACTCAGGATCCTGAAATTAGGCCTCTTGCTGAACTTGATTCAAAGTCACTGGAGCAGATGTTTCCTGAAATTCCTCAATGGGTGAAAAATCCAGACTTTGATCGAGTAAGAAATGACATTCCTCTCTATTTCCAGTTCATATTTATGTCCTGTAGCCTGTTGATTATTTCAGAAACTAAGCTTCTTGTGGTTTTGTCCTTGAAGATTGACTGGCTAAACAAGTTTCTCGAGCTTTTGTGGCCATATCTCGATAAGGTGACTACTCTTGAAATTTTAGCAAATTCTTCGAGTGTTTACAAGATCCGATGACAGTTTTTATCATACTTACTTTTCTTTTTTGGCTTCTTTCTTATCTAAATATTGCGTTGCAGGCAATCTGCAAAACCGCAAAGGAGATAGCAAAACCAATTATTGCTGAGAATACTGCCAAGTACAAAATTGACTCGGTTGAATTTGAAACTCTCACTTTAGGTTCTCTGCCGCCTACTTTGCAAGGTCAGTGTTACTCTCATGGTTACTTGGCTTTTTACATTAGATTATATGCTAACCTTAATCTCACATTCTCTCTCTAGATATCACCAGGAAATCTTCCATATAATTTAGACAAAATAATAGTGACTTTCTGCTTTTTGTGCCACTTAGTTTTTGGTCTTTGGACTCTAATTTCAGATCATCCGATATAAATATATCTTTGATTTCTTAAAAGCGTAAGAATCCTTGTAGATATCAGTTCAGATTGTTTACATATTTTTCATTTAGTTGGCTTGAGAAACTTCGATACCAACTCCAGATCTGCACCGAAATCCTTTTTACACATTGCTTTTTTCTGATCTGATTTATTTTTCTTCAGTGTTCATATTCAACTCTGCGCTGCATTCGATTGACATATGCGGTTCATAGATATTTATCATAGGTTCATAAGTCTAAGTACCTTTACTAAATTGTACATTATATTTCAGGAATGAAAGTGTACATTACAGATGAAAAAGAAATAATTATGGAACCATCACTTAAATGGGCTGGAAATCCTAATGTCACTGTTGTGGTTAAGGCATTTGGACTAAAAGCAACTGCACAGGTTTTTTCTTTCTTTACATTCATTTTGTGAAAGTAAATTAAATTTGACTTTTTGCTTAAGCTCATGTATTTTGGTAACCGATGACAGTCATCCCTAACAAATTTCCAATTCTTAACTCTTTTAGGTAATAGACTTGCAAGTATTTGCTACACCACGTATTACATTAAAGCCACTTGTCCCCAGCTTCCCCTGTTTCGCAAAGATCCTTGTATCGCTCATGGAAAAGGTGAATGAGAAACAGAGCTCATCTTTGATGCTTCTTATTGTTCTAATCATTTTCCTACTTTTTGACCAGTCTTATAATATTTTCACCTCCTGTACTCTGTTGTAGCCACATGTTGATTTTGGACTAAAGCTTCTTGGAGCTGATGTGATGTCAGTGCCTGGTCTTTACAGATTCGTTCAGGTGTTTCACTTGTTTTGAAAAGTTGATCTTCGTATCAGCTTTTAAATTGTACTTTTCTGCATATAATGAGCTACATGTTACTTCTGCAGCTGTCTTTTCTGCTCCAGTTATTTGCACACTTCTAGACTGAGATTTTCACTGGAAAACTGACCAAGAATTATGATGCTCAAACTTGTTCAGAATCAGGATTATTAGGATCTTAAAGTAAACGACAACAACTTATGTTGAATGTTCACACTTCCAAAAGTGTAGAGAAGCTATACCTGTTCTAGACTTGCTTGTGTTTATTCTGCGTCCTTTTTTAATGTAGCTATGAGCATCAGCTGTAACCCAGAACATCACCACCCTGTAGTGACATTTATACAGCATTGGCCTATGTATCATTGTTGAAGAGATGTGTATATTAAGTTTGCTGTTTGTGCCTTCGTTTTATTTTCTATGTTCCTGATGTACATTCTTTTTCTCTACATTTATCCACAGGAGACGATCAAGAAGCAGGTTGCCAACATGTATCTTTGGCCTAAAACGCTGGAAGTGCCAATAATGGACCCTTCAAAGTAGGTTTTCCAGATTCTTCTTTTTATATCTTCACCTCTAACTGACTTCCTATATTAAGCATCTCTTATGTGCTTCTTGCAGAGCTATGAAGAAGCCCACTGGTATCCTAAATGTGGTTGTCGTCCGAGCATATAAATTGAAGAAAAAAGATCTTTTGGGCAAGTCCGATCCATACGTAAAGCTAAAGCTCGCAGATGACAATCTTCCATCAAAGAAAACAACAGTCAAGCGTAGCAACCTTAACCCTGAGTGGAATGAGGAATTCAAGTTGGTTGTTAAGGATCCAGAATCTCAAGCTCTGGAGTTGAGTGTCTACGATTGGGAACAGGTATGCCTTTGTACTATATCTCTTTGGTCGGTCATCTACTGTCTTGTCTCATAATGTGCTGTTTTGTCCATATATTTCTTCCTCTAGGTTGGAAAACATGAGAAAATGGGCATGAATGCTATCCCATTGAAAGATCTCATCCCTGACGAGACAAAATCTCTAACCCTTGAACTGCTCAAGAACATGGATCCTAGTGATCCTCAGAACGACAAGTTGCGTGGACAGATTGTTCTTGAGGTCACTTACAAGCCATTTAAGGAAGGGGAAGTTGCAAACAACATAAGTGACGGTGAAAACGATGTAGAAAAGGCCCCTGAAGGCACTCCAGTGGGTGGCGGCTTGCTTGTGGTCATCGTACATGAAGCTCAAGATCTTGAGGGGAAGCACCACACAAATCCATATGTTAGAATCCTTTTCAGAGGAGAAGAGAAGAAGACCAAGGTAGAAATTTATGCAGTTGCCTTGCTGCATTCATCAGTTCCAATCAGCATCGCACAAGGTATCTTATTTTGTTGTAATTGTATGCAGTACATCAAGAAAAACAGGGACCCGCGTTGGGAAGAGGAGTTCCAGTTCATGTGTGAGGAACCACCCACAAATGATAAAATGCATGTAGAGGTTCTCAGTAGGCCACCAAGTATTGGAATCCACTCGAAGGTATGACCAATATCTTTCGCATTCGAGAATTTTGTTACTTTGGCTCTTCTATGTAGTTTCTAGCTTTATTTTCTGGATCATCGTTTTGCAGCGAAAGTCTAATGCATGCTTATCCTGATTATCTTTTTTCGGTTTACCTTCACTGTAACTAATTGATTATGTTACATAAAATGACATGCAAAACTTAATTTGTTCAATTAAGAGAGCCCCCGAAGAGGCTATATACACTCTGAGACATCCAGGCCAGCAACATTGTGGAGGCACACGGTTGTTGCCAAAACTCATAATAAACCCGACGAACCTGTTTGTGTCGGTGTTATGAGTTATTTATGTTTTTTATCATATTGACAAATAAAGTAAGATTAGTTGTGATATCCTAAAACTGCCATGAGGCCTCGAAGGGACCCTACTACCCTTTGAATGAGTGGTTGTGGTAAGAAAATATAGGAGTTTGGGGAACCAATGTATGCAGTTTCTCCCTACAAGGTGCAAAAATGCATTTGCCACTGGAATGCTGATGGCAAAGGAGCAACTTTATGATGGCGCACCAAATCTAGCCCTCTAAAACCTAGGAATGCACAGTTTTCTTTTCCTTTTTATTTTTTTTCAACGATGGCCTGTCTATATGTGGGACTTTGCATTGCCTGCGAATTGTCATATGCTGTTCATCAAGAGTACTTGTACAATAGACATTAATCTGGAGCTTACGAATGTTTATTTTGAAATTATTTGTCAGGAAATTCTGGGGTATGTCGTCATCAGCCTTGCAGATGTTGTCAACAATAAGAGAATCAACGAGAAATATCATCTAATCGACTCCAAAAATGGTCGCATACAAGTTGAGCTGCAGTGGCGGTCATCATAGTTGAGCCACACTGTTTACTGTCTCTACAAGGAAATATTTATTGAGAACTTGTGGCGTACCGCATGCTGAATAATTGGAGAATAAATTTCTGTATATATCTGAATCAGAGATTGCTCTCATCCTCAGAATTTCTGTTTACGTTTTCATAGCTTCATAGAACTTTGTGTTTGAGATTTTTCTTAAAATTCTTTGAGTGGTGTAAGCATGTTGTCTACGATGGTTTGTCAGAAAGGAGGGGTGTGCGCATTGTGAATTTATCAGATTTACCAAGTCCTTACTTTTTGTGTGTAGTGAGTGTCGGTCGTGCATCCCGTGCCTGTTACGAAAGATATGCATGCACGGTCATGGAAATGATTCATTTGGGATTTTCTCCTTCCACGAATAGATTTCATTATTTATGATAGACAGTAAAGACGACGCAAAGCTGTTGTAGAAGTAATATGAACAAACAGTGGAAACCAAGTCGACGAAACAGCAACTCGATTTCACATGCATACATATTTCAGGTGAAGGCAATTTTGTTACTTTTGGCTCTTCCATGTGTATAAATACAGTATTATTTTGCTGTGTGCATATATATACATATATACATACATACACAAAAGATCACATCAACTCCCATAAGAGAATTGATTGACCCTAACTTGAGGCCAAAGCTTGGATTTAGGTAATAAATCACAAAAGCTTGGATTTAGGTAATAAATCACAACCAACCAAGTTACAAGAAAATGCAACTTTACCATTGGAACTCAACGAGAACAAACTAAAATCTTTTTAAGTATATCAACAGACACGTTCCTAATCATGAAAGGAGACCTGTAATAGAACACCCAGAGAAACCTTAGGCATTGTTGTTTACCAGAGATGATACTGAGTTGGAAGAGAATCAGATACAAGTAGCATAAACATCCCTGAATATAAAATGTTGGATAGTCCACAGGCCATAGAGATGTCACAGTACAAATTCGAGCTCCAAAGAAAATGCAGGTCCTCGGTCCACCGCCACAAGAAACAAGTGGCACCCAAAAGAAAGATAATTGTTCTGCAAGTAAAACAAAGTTAACACGGGGGTTGTAGCAGTTATAGTTTTTAATGATGAACTTTGAGATTACTGAAAAAGATTGGAGAGATGATGGTGACATGTAGCATGCTGGTTAGCAGAAAAGAGTTCAGCGAAGCATCAAGCATGAAGGAATGTGCAAGGTTTACAACTCGGTGCAATATCAGATACATAAATATCAGCACATTATCTCAGCCGTTGTTGAACAATGTTCGTGAGATTTTTGTTTTTCCAAAGCCCTCATTACAGAATTAAAAAAAAAGAAGAAGGAAGCAGCTAGAGATATTCAAACATGTTAAATCCACTTACAACTCCTTTTTTAAGGTATAAGAATATGCCGCTAGAAAGGAAACAAAATCGTTATGAAGGTTCAGGAGACTACAAAAAAACCCAGAAGTAGTTTTGAGATACGATCTAAACATCAATTATTACCTCAGATAACAAGGCATAAGCAGCCTTAAACTAATCCTTTATTTATCACCACCTTTTTCTGAATCGTCTTCCTTTTGCTTCTGCTGGGTCTGAAAATACAAGCAAAACAAACACCAGGATCAGCATCAGAGCTTCACGTGTTAGAAACACATGCAATTGCAAATAAAAGCACAGGAATAACAACCAAAGCAGCTTAGAAGGAAAAAAAGGGTCATGTACAAGAACACATGAGTACATCACTTACTAGGTACTTTAAACGCAAATGTACTTTGTGCAACTAATTGGAATATTGAAGCCACCTAATTTCAAGTAGGGACAAAATCTTGAACAAAATTCCAGAAAAAAATTTCATAAAAATCACCATACCAAATTAGGGTCTAAGAGAAGGCATCTATATTATTTCTTACAATTTTCTTTTAGAAACTATGCATCAAACATTATATCTTTCAATTTAGTTTTAGAAACTAGAAATCATGTACAGTTAATGAATGCATATGATATATTCATGAACAGCTTAGTTCATAGAGGACTCAAGGGGGCCATCCTATTCTTATATATCACCTCTAAACAAGCCAGCTTAAGCTTCTTATCTCTCTATTAAAATTTCTATCCTAAATTTATTTACTGCTTCTTATTGGTGGATTAAAAAGATTCAACACAACCAGGAAAAACCTCCAAACTACCACTAAAAATCATTATTATTATCTTTCAATTAATTTACAACACTAGCATCCATCTCAACATCCTCACATCCTTAATAACAACTTTTGGATATCTTGTTTCTTAATATATTAACACTATGATGCATAATGAATAATAGGTCATATAACAATTTTATATAATTGTTCTTCTAATTGGAGGATTACAACAATCACAAAACACAGCAAATTCAACTCTTCACTTTAACTATCATTCTTTTATTTAGTAAACAATAGAATTAAATGATGCAACATGCAAAAACTTTCTTTTCTTTTTCTTAACTTGATCACCTGTTGAGCAATGCCATCATTTTCCTTTGTTTATAATTACATTCTCATATATTCTATCTTAATCCTACTTAATTTTGAACTATGGCTTCTGAAGCTTAGTTCCAGAACTCTAAATAAAGTTTGCCCCTGGTTCACTGAAATCAATAGACAAAATCCATAGGAAATACTCGATTGCATGTAATTCCATCCTAAATATGCCATGCATCATTAGTGAAAAACAGTTAAGACTTTGAGCTGACTTACATTATAGATATATTATGATTGGCTGTGGTTTTTGTCCACATTGTTTTCATGACAATAAGCATCCTTACTTAAAATGTTCCACTACCAAGCAAGTAAACATATTCTCCAGTTGATCTTCTTGTTACTTATTGTTCATATTAATTCTGGTTCAAATGTTCTCAAGAGTTTCAGTCTGACTCAAGTTTTAAGTTCATAATAATTTACTAACTTCAATAATACCTTTTTTATAGTTCCTTCATACAACCATGAAAAGAGTGGGTCACATAACCTACCAGCTTTCATTTTTTGAAGAGGACCCGTAACTTACCCTAATTTTCCTTCCATCCAAATAGCTTTTAGTACCATCCTTACTCTCAAGCAATTTCTAAAGAGATGTCACAGTATGCAGGTGGTCAAGTACAACAGTATATATGTGGTATAAGCCAGCACATGCATTTCAAATATTCAAATATAAAAATTGTATGAAAAATAAACAAGTACAAAAGAAAAAGCAGATAGATAAATGCTACAACTAAATTAAAAACTCGTGGACTGATTCTTACTCTTCACGAAGTTAATTGTATTGACTAAGTTATACATCATCAATCAAGTTTAAAGTATCAAAATAATACAAACACATAAATGGTAATAATGTTGAAACATGTACCATATATGTGATCATATTTTCATGCTCATGCATTGGTATATGTGGTTGTATATGCATCTGCAGGCCACATAGTCAAGAGAAGTAATTTGGTAAAGTATCATAACCATCTTTCCCTTTTGGCCTAATTTTTTCTTGTTAGACTCCCTTCAATCTTAATCATTCATGCTCAAAAAAATAACCTGAATTTTGTTCGTCTTTTCTCTCACTTCAGCAAGTGAGTAAATACTATTTGTACCATCTTTAGAACCTAATTTCTTGTAAAATTTTATCATTTACATCAAACTAAAAAAAGGTGGTATTTAACAAGAACAATACAATAATCAATATACTTGTAAACAATAAAAGGTTTTGGAGTTTCAGTCCAAAACAAACCTCTGATTGGCCTTGTAAAGATGCCAGAAAATCCTTCAGTGAAGGATCATTGGGGTCAACACCAGGAAGCTGTGGGAAGAAGCTATTAATATATAGCAGGAACAATTACTTCAAAGTTACAATAACTTCAGCAAAATGAATATTACCGAGTTTAGGATAGATGAAACAAATGATTGGTCCTCAAGCACTTTGCTCATCTCTGACTGGGATGACGAGTCTTTTGCAGTTTCTTGAACAGACATTTGAAGGGCTGCATGCAATAGGGTAAAACTTTGTAAATCTGCATAAGCAGTTATTGAAACAAAATGCACACAGTTGCAAACGTGTTTCTAGAGGATATTGCAAGGTAATGCATCCAAAGAAGTAAAAGTTGTGAAACTGAATGGGAAATAGCAAATAATCTTTTGGAGAAGATATTAGATTAGTTTGGCTCAAATACCGAAGCCCCCCCTTTACCTGTCCCTTGTTCCTTGCTTTTTTTATTATTGTCTTGAAATCATCTAAAGATCAGTTGGACATAAAATTTAATCATATATTTCAGGTAGTATCAATTTACCAAGTTTGTTACGGTAGAGTTCACCCAATATATATTCAACTCTGTAACAGTTTATATCTTTCTGAAAGTATTTCCCAAACTGCAATATAGAAAAGAACATGACATCAATAATACCATGAGTTCTAGCACGTAGAGAAGATTATCTACCATTTAAGTGTCATTAATACATGGTCAAATGGGCACCATGTAGTTAGTCACCTGGCAATTAGCAAAAGTATAACAAACAGAACAAAATACATGCAACAGAAGATTTTCTGTAGCAGGCTATTTTACCAATATAGTGACTTCTAGATTAGAAGAGAACCCCAAGCACTTCCCTGTGAGGTTCTCGAATCAAACATCCAATTCATATCTGTCTCAGATATCCAATACAAGTTTGGTGATTTCTCAACCTTATCACTAAAACACAGTCGGAATCAACTAGAAAGACTCAAGCTCAACCAGAGCCTTTCCGTTTGTGCAAACTGGCTCTTACAAGAACAGCAAACAGTTACATCTTGAAAAATGTAACTTAACAAATTCTAATCGAAGGGCTCATGCCGGGAAATGCTTTCTTTTCAATGTGAAGATGCTGGAAAGAGATGGATGGTTATAGGTACCATAAGGTAAAAAGGAAGGCACATAACAAGGAAAATTATAATCCCGAACACATCTAAATCATGGAAAACAATGATTACGATAACTAAATCATGGAGCATAATAAATCAACAACATGGCCTAGTAACTCCCATCTAGGAAACAAGTGTACATAGAGTTGGAGTGAACAGTATCACTAAATACCATTTATCATTTACATACAGCAAATAACAAGTTAAATATACAACCTATTTGTAAAAGAAAAGTAAGTTCAACCAGTTTAAACCTGAATTCATATGAAACTACCATAAGGGTTTTCAAGTGTTCTTAACCACCAAAGCATGGATGGCCAAAAAAATACTTTTAGCTAATAAATTTGTCAATAAGATTAACCACTCCAATGCAGAAATCATATGAAATAGCACCATACATATCCTAGAACAACAATTAAATGCTAGAGATGATGAAAAACAAATCAAGACAAATGAAAAATAAATCCTAGTATACAATAATGCTGTCGCATCCATTTCATGGAAAAGACGGGTTGTCACCAAGGTTCACATAATCAAGACTGGTTCAGAACCAACAGTAGGACTTAGAATTTGAATTGGTCTTGGATTAGCCAAACAGGTAAAATCAGATCATGAAAGAGGGTTATATCAGGTAAATCAGATATTCAACAGGTTCTGTTGGAATCAGCTGCAACATCTGAAAAAGACACCACACGGCAAGATTAGGCAGAAATCAGCTGGGATAAAAAAGATCAGCCAAATCTGGCCTATCAGTCAGTAACTAACTGAATTGCTGAGATTGACCACATATCAACAACGATTAGAGGGACCAATCACTTCTCGTACTTTGCAACCGGGCTCCATGAACCCCAAAAGAATTGAGATTGGCGCAGCCAGTCCCAATATAAATTGGCTAAATTGGATCAAGATTGTTTAATCCCACAAATCATGCTTGGAACAAAACCATCTATTATGTCTTACTAATTTCCCAAACATTTTAATTTGACAAAAAATAATTGCGACAAGAAATAGATAATAAGCATGCTCTGTCTATCTTCAGGTAGATTCAAAAAGTAGCAACAGCATTTGTATCATACAAAGTGAGATTAGTATTTAGTTGTATATAATCACCATAGAGATGTAGAAGCAAAATGAGATTAGTATTTAGCCATATATAATCACCATAAAGACAGAGAACAAGATAGATACAAAATTTTGCGATGGTAATTTAAAGGTAACAGAAACTAACTATAGGACTAACCATATGCCAATTCAGGATCTTCTGCCGTAGCATCTGACATGTCAGCATCAGTGATATCCACACTGGTGGACTTAGCACCATCCATGGACATTGCAAGAGCTTGTTCTAGCAATGCAGCCTCATCATCCTGTTAACATTTCAAGTGCATTCAAGTATAACTAGTCGTTCTTTTGTGTAAACTCAAGATATGAGAGACAACGTGATAAGAACATATCAAATAGCATAAAGAATCCACCATAAAAGAAAATATTTTGTTCAAAAAACTCAACTTGTTCACTATAAAGTTGAAACTCCTCTTAAACTATTACACTAATTTCTATTGCATTTGCCTAAAAGTTACTAGTTGCTAAGAACTTCAAAGATTTTTATGGCTATTAAAACTGAAAATTTGACATTAAAGGTATAAGATTTGACAATTTTACAGCTCATCAACACTTGTAAAAAACAAAATGGTTCGCAAAAGAAGATATAAAGGCTAATTAAATGAGAATTAAAGGTTGGTACGACAAAGAACACACCGTTAAATTTTGCTTTTTATCATCAGCCACGACAGCTGAAGTGTCAACTGCTTCAGTCATAGCTGCATCCTGGGAACTTGAAGCTTGCTCCCCTACTTTCTCCTGTTTAGCAGCCTCTTCAGCAGCCTTTTTTGCAGCAGCTTCTTGTCTTGCTCTTTCTTCTTCCATGGAGATCCTCAATGCCAGGGCCAATTCAGGATCCATGTTAGGATCCACACCAAAATCAAATCCAGACATGCCACCAGCTGCAGCTGCTGCCGCTGCAGCAGCAAAACCACTCCCACCTTCCCCATCTCCAGTAAAAATAGGTGTGCTGTAAATGACACAAACAAGTTATAAATCATGGATCAAAGAGCATGATAATGAACTTTCACAAATCACCACAGAAACCTGATAAGCACATCAGAAAGGGCACTTGGACTAGGTGGAACATGAACTATGTGACTGTTGTCATTATTGTTCACAGCAGCAACCAAGGCCTCCAACTTTTCAGGTTTCCCATCATCAGATTCTCCAAAATCAACAACATCCAAAGCAACACTGTTCTTTTTCAACTTTCTCCCAATTGCCTCCAATGTCTTCTTGTCATACTTGATTGGACTTGATATATCCAAAATAAGTATTAAAAATATGCAAACTAGTATAAGTAACATCAGGGAGAAAGAAAGAAATCAGAATGATTTTGAGGATACCTTCCAGCAAAAACTATGATTCTTTGTTTCTGTTTCTTGTTTTGCCTGTGTTTAAGAGCCAACTGGGCTACCTGTATTCCTGCAGTCAAGTTCATTTCACCACCGATTTCCAAACCTACACACAGACAGGAATATACAAATAGATAAGACAGCAATATACAAATATACAAATTCTTGTTAATCATCACTTGTGTTAGAAAAGAAAATACTATTTCTGTCATGCATAGCTATAGTACAAATCTAACATAGCTTAGAAGCATTTGAAATCACCAGTGTCAATTATAAATACCAACCACACAGAGCAAATCTTTAAAAATAAGGTCAAACTACAGAGCATATTGGTAAAACATTTGACTCAAAATTCATTCAGCAAGTCTAGTATCATCCCTAGATGTCATCAAATTTTCTCAACAAAAGATTGACCAATTGACACTAATATTTGAATTCCTAGTTATAGCACATAGATCATAATCAGAGGTGTATGTCTTAACCATAAGCTCTACTTGTCTGATTTCAATAGACAGCAAGGAATCAGAACAACCGACCAATTAGCTGTTAGGTTGAATAATAAACGCACTATAGGCACGATGATGAAAGGTTCAGACCAAGTATGGGAACAAGAAAGATTTTGCAGCAAAAACGCCTACCATGCATGCAAGCCAGGATCTTTCCAAGATCACTCGTGGGCGTCACCAAGACACGGACCCCTTTCCCCGCCATCGTCAGCACACCCACCGTGTTCTCCGGATTCGACTGTCAAAACAATAATTTGAATCCCCAAAATTCGCATTACAACCAATCGGATCCCAAAAGAAGACGCCTCTAGACCCTAATTTCCAAAAACCCAAAATCGAACCCGCTCCAACCTTCGACTCAAGAACTTTCGTTGCAGAAAGGGAAAGAGACGATCACCTGAGTTTTAGCTCCGCATATGAGATTGATAGCGTCGGCCTGGGCCTGGTATCGACTGGGCGAGTAGTCCCCATTCCGCATCCACTCCGAGTTGTCGATGCAGATCATCGTGGCCTGCAAGAATCGAATCCAAAATACTCAAAGAAAACCCTAGCAACAAGTAGAGATCGTGCAAAGAGGAGGCGGCGGAAAGAAAGGAAAATAAGAGATCTAAAGGGGCCAGAGAAGTGTGACCTCAAGAACCATGGCGATGCGTCGAAGGGCGAGAAGGAGGATTAAGATGGGGCAGGAGAAAGGAAGAGAGCTTCGGAGGATCAAGAACCAACTCTTCTGTTGTTGTTTGCTTGCGGCTCAAACCAACCAGGCTTTGAAGACCAAGAAGTGGGCTAAAGGGCGTAAATATATAGCAACCAAGCTTGGCTCTGGGAACCAAACCCACGCTTTCTTCTGATCTCACTAATCCAACGCCATTTGCATGGGTCCAATTCGGACATGATGGCCTCACCGTTACACGCCCAATGGTAATAGAGACGACTAATTCGGCTCAATTAGGTCCATTTGGTTGATTTGACTTGGGTCAATCGCCTAAAGTTAGAGGTCGGGCAACGACGGGGGCCATGATGGGTCCGGTCTACAGTTGGCCCAAAGCCCATTAACGGCGGCGCATCGTTGTTCCTAGTGTTCTTAGTGGGTCGATGGAGGCTGGCTCTCGTAGGGCAAGGAAGACGGGACATCGGGACGATGTCGGAGGCTTACAAGAAGGTGAAGGCCGGGAGGCTCGTCTTCAAGGGCGGCGACGTCGCTGGCGTCGACAAGAAGAAGCGTAAGAAGAAGAAGAAGGCGGAAGCCGACGCGGAAAAGAATCCCTTCGCTGCGGGGGAAGACGCCGACGGGGAGTCGGCGTCGGCCGGGGCAGAGGCGTACACGATCGACGCGGCGAAGCGGATGAAGTACGAGGAGCTCTTTCCCGTGGAGTCCAAGAAGTTCGGTTACGACCCCGCCAACAAGTCCCGCACGAGCGCCCGCACGATCGAGGAGGCGCTCGACGACAGGGTCAAGAAGAAGGCTGACCGCTACTGCAAGTGATCGATCCTCTCGCTTCTTGTCTCGGGTGCGATGAGAATTTTAGGGTTTGAAGCTTTCCTTTGTCTTAATGACCCATGTTGAATTCTATTTAGATTCTGAGGTTTCCATGAACATGTTGGCTGTGGTTTTCATATGCATTTATTTCTGTTCTATGTCGCCTTGATTAAAGATGGATTTTTCTACCTTGTTATGAATCTTTTATGAGGAGAATTTATGCTTTATTTTTCAGACCAGGATTACTTGGTTAATTCTTTCTGATCATGTTTCTATGATATTTGACACATAAATCACCAATTTGAGAGAAGATATGTTGTTGAGGTTCTACTTAGATGAACTATTGCTCTGAGACTGATTTAGAAAGAAGAACTTGATGTGAAGAACTTTGTTGTTGGAACATATGAACATGGATTTTAGTAGTCCTATAATGTTATGCTCTGATTAACAAATACAAACAAGCAGTTGTATGTTCTTATTAGTCTATTATGCTAATAAGAAATCTGCAACTGAATTAGTCTATTATGCTATGCTCTGATTAAGAAATACAAACAAGGAGTTGTATGTTCTTTTTAGTCAATTACTGTGATGATGGGGTACTTTTTCCTATAGCATTGTGGTGCTAGCCTTGAAGCTCTTGTTACCATCAGATCTCATTGCCAATAAGAGTAAATGAAAAATCAAAACGAATCCTTCAGGGATTTATGATTATCGATCTTTCTTTTGCTTGCTAATATGTGTCACAATGGTACTTCCCGAAGCAGATCTAAAGTCATCTATCTAAATTTTGAAAAAAAATGTTGTATCTTCCTATCATAGAACAGCACTGATTACAATGATCTCCTTCGTTGTATCTTTTTTTTTTTTTCTGGTATCGGTAATTCTCAAGATATTGGAACCTTGACCTTTGGGCTTTAACATGTGTATCTCTTCTATTCTGATCTTCAGTATTTTGTGCCTGTATTGATGTACAAGAAAAGGATGTTCTGATCCTTTGAACAAAGAATCGATGAACTTGTTCTGATCCTCTTCTATTCTGATCTTCAATATTTTCAATAGTAGAAGGATGATGTTTGTATGTGATATTCTTTCTGGTATTGTCTAAGGTTTGGATGAATTGTGCACAGAGTTGTTTTGTTATTCGGTTCTTTTTCATTGTGGTGTTAAAGAAGCATACTATTGTCTTTTAAACACAAAGACAATATAGTATGCTGTAGTTGTGAATAAACTTTTGCACATTGTTGAAGATTTTTGTGCATAATTATCTGTTTGTGTGCTTGATGACCATATTTTCTGTCACTTTTCATAGGATAATATTGAGGCATTCTCCACATCTGAACTATTTTATATAGAAGTAAAGCACTTGTCGATTGACAATTTTGGTATCAGTGGGTTGATTATCATTTTCATTATCATCATTTGTATATATTTATGTCGATGGCTCTTGGGCTCATATTCTACAGGAAATATATATTTTCTGTTTATTTCCTTGCCAATCTCATTATTATATCTCTTCTTACTCTCAGGTTGTTGTCGTCTATTTTCCTTGCTGATTCACCAGGGACGATAGTCATCAAACAAGATTGCAGTCAAGAAGATGTTAGGAGCAAAGATTACGACTGAATTTTATATTAGCCCTGTTAGTAGCACCTTGAGATGCCTTGTAATTGTATCAGTTGCACTGCTTATGATGTTGGGATCCAAACGCTCTGCAAGTCGCAAATCCTGTAACAATGCTTTTTATCAGATTCCCAACACCTGTTCTATGCATTGCTCGAATGTACTTTGAAGGGATCAGATATTTCATCAGCCAGTCTATGAACTGGTTTATCTTCTCCTAATGTCTATAATTTGTGGTTCAAGTCATTTCAAAGTGTTAGATGTGCCTGGGGCCAAATGAGACACACGAATTCGCTGGTTTTAAAAGAACGTTCGAATTTTAACATTTCTTATGGGTTCCGAAGAAAGATTGATATATATGAGCTTATAATTTCTGTGTTTTGCATCACAATTTGCTTTTTCAGGGCATTTTATGCTTGACCGTAAAATACACAAATTTATCATTCCAATGCTAGAGAAGACAAGAGCATATATAACCATAAACGATATATACCACCCTAAGTTCCATGCACAATTCACTCTTAGTTTTAGGATCTTCATAATCCTAAAACCAGAGAGTTGCTTTCTATTCCCAAATCCGTTGAAATTGACAATCCATAGAACCAGAATCATTCAGGCATAATATAATAAGCCTCTTGATTTTTAAAGAGTAGTCAGAGAGATTGGATCTATCCAAACACAGAAATTTCCCCAGACCAGCTGCATGAAGCTACGACATCAGTCATTAAGGGGTGGAAGGCAACGTCAATGCATGCCTGATCGAATGCCTTTACTTTTCTCAAAAGCTCCGAGGATTTGTAACTGAAGAAGTATATACAACCATCCGACGAGCCTGAGGCGATTTGCTCGCCATCCAAACTGAAATTGCACTTGATTGGGAAGCCGCATACACCGTGCATCTCGTACCTCTTGCACTTATCCATCTTAAAGGGAGGCCTTGCTGAAAAAATGGCAATGTAGTTGCCATTGGACTGCGCAACGAAACAACAATCAGATGGGTGATACCGGACACACGTGCAGGTGTAGGCCTCCGTGTAAACCTAACAACAATGGAAGAAACATAAGGATTAGATGGATTAGCATGTTTAACTCATTACAATGCCTACTCAAATGCAATGGCAACAAAATGGTGCCTAAATAGCTTGCACTGCAACATCTTCTCATAAGATTGTAAATGACATCAAAAACTTGAAGACAAACAGCCTTTAATGCAATAGAATGACACAATTAATCAAGTACAGAAACATATCTAGTTCTTTCTCCAACCATTTGTTTGCAACGAAGACTAGCAAACATTTTATGTGCAGCTTTTGGAGGAAAGAAACAACTATTACATTAGCACACAAATATTAAATTTGCATAGACTGTTTGTAATCCAGTTCGAATGAGAAAAAAAAAAAAAGGAACTGATGAAATTTGCAAGGGCAGTTTTCAAGTTCCAGACAATGTTACAGGTACCGAGAAACATTGGCATATATTTCCTGTGAAGAATCCTGATAGCCAACCCAGCAAATTATAGTTACCATCCAATGTCAAGATGACAATTCACTATTGGTACTTTAAAATTTAGTGTCCCTCCTCTTCAATCCAAAGAGATCATAAATCTTATTTGCAGAACATTTTATCCTTTAACATTCTTATTATCTCATTTTCAGTTTGTTAATTTTCTTTTTTGCTTTCACCCTATAACAAGGGGCAGTATCTAAACCCTTTAATTTCTTAAACTGTCAAACTAGCAAGCAAGTATTTCAAATGATCGCTTGAAGCCAGCCCTCATCCAGAACTGAATTTGCCATTAAATGTTCAAATACTAAAATGAGTTATTTGATATGCAAAAATCAGAGATATACGGTGAAGTTATAGTACAGTCATAGGACATCAAAGACCACTAATAAGGATAGGAGTAAAAGAAAAGATAGTGCAGAATGTTACCTGGTTAGATAAAGGAACTTGTCGCAAGACATCCCAAACAATGATAGAGTTCTCACTAATACGGCTCTTTGTAGTGTCACTGGAACAGAGAAAGTTTTTTCCATCTAAACTGAATTCAACATCAAGTATGGGCCCAAGCCCTTTAAGATACTCCTTTACCACCGTCCCAACTCTTATATCCCATAATCTGAGTAGACCCTTTGACCCACCAGAAAGGAATAGACTTGAGTTATCAGGATGGAATCTGATGACCTCCACAGTTTGATCCTCTTTAAATATTTGTGTTTCCATTCCCTTTTCAACATCAACTAGCCGTGATGAACAGTCATATCCACAAGAAAGCAAAGATAACCCATCAGAAGACCACCTAACATCCTTCACGGCTGCATTATGGCATCTGAAAACACGGGCTTTCTGCTGATTTCTGCTCCAAACATTCCATACATTAACTGTCTGATCCATTCCAGCAGAAGCAAGAAGATGTCCTGTTTAGCTAAACTTATTAATAGCAAAAAAGTAGATAATAGTGACTGGCCAATTTTAAGTAAACAAACTGTGTACCCTGTTAAAATTAGCTATAGAAGTATCACACAATGCTCAACCATGGGTAACGATGATAGAGGGACCGTTAGAGAGGGGGGGTTCAGGTAATGAATGCTTTGAGAAGGCATCAGATTTTTCTAGAAAGACTAAAATATCCTCGAAAGGAAAAAAATAAAAGTATACATTTAAGAGTATTATGGTCAATATCAATCCATAATGGTCCAATTAACAACTCGGTTCCGGTTTTCCAATGGTATCGGCAGATTTGGTCAGGGTTTAATAACTCCAGGTGCAATTTCAAAAACTAAAGGACCATTTCAGTGAACAAGCTAATTAGCTAAAACACTTCGGGGGTGGGAACAAAAAAGAGACTAGATTTTTAGTACACATTTAACATGAAATGAAAGTATGGTTACTTTAGAGTAGAAACGATATGCTACACTTCTATTTTAAAGCCATTTCTCATCCTTTGGTAGTGAAAAGCTACAATTTGTTAAGTTCCTCAAAGTGAAAACTACTGGGGTTGTAGAACAGATCTTGATATTACAGAGTTATAAGCTCATACATGTTAATAAATTGGGAATTATAAGTGCATCTTAACTTAAAATATTGGAAAAGATATCCAGAGAAAAACAATGATGACATTCCCAATTACTAGACATAAAACGACATTAAAAAAACCTTCTTGCTAAAATTTAGAGAAAAGGCCATAGTTACCACATTATTTTTGAGGATTTAAGAAAGGCCATTCCTTATAAAGAATCAGAGTTCTATCTTTAGTAACATCTATAAAAAACACCATATCATGGGTGATTTTGGTATAACAGTGCACACTGGATACCATATCATGGCATACTTCATACTTCGTAGTATCAAGATTAAAAAGAAAAACTTTTCCAGATACTGTATAGAAGCATGCACAATGTAATGCTTCAGCATGACATGGCAAAACACAATGATTAATCATAATTTTGTCATGATCTACCATCTCTGCTAATATGAGGGGAGCCTAAGATGTGTCCAAAAGGTTCCAAGTTTTAACATAATAAAATATAATTGTCAAAGTATTGCATCACTGTTCTGCACAATTCAATAAGCTAATTTAATGTTTAAAAGATTCTTAGAACTTAGATACAATGTAGAACTTATCCTTAAAATCCATTAATGATTAAGATGCCCTTTACCCACACTTTTTTACAATATTTTGTTTTTTACATGACTAAGAATCAAACATTGTTTTTAAACAAATGTTAATTCCTTAAGATGTTTTATGCCGAACAGATAATACTTGTTAATTGAAATCCACTATGTCATAGTAAGTATGATACAAAGGAATCCACATTTTACTATTGAAAGGGCAGACAAGTCACGTTGATGGGAAATGAGAAAAAAAAGCAAAAGCCATGTCCATGAAAATGATAGAAGTGAATTTTCAAGTGAAAATGATAGCCATCTCCATGATATTATAATCTCCAACTATAATATGGAAGGAACAAAAACATACATCGGCTAAATAAGAAGATGATTGATTAAGTTTTTTAGAATCATCATAGTGGAACTGTACGTAAACCCAACAGTATATATTCAGCTATAGTACAATCAGAATGTCCATCAAAACCAACCAGGTGGATATAATATAAGAAATTTCGAGAAAAAATTGCAAAATCAGATATACAAACCATGACTTTTAGACCATTGTAAAGAATTGACAGCAGAACGGTGACCATCTAAGGAAACAGCGAGTTTTGTAGAAATCCCACGTCTCCCAGCAAGGCCCTTCCTTTGACACTTCAAAAATGTCACTATGTCTGATGGCAAATCTGAATCTGAAATTGATCCCACAACTGCAATTGAAGACCAACCAAAATAGGAGACAGTAACTATGCTAGAGAAGAAGTGGTAGAAACATCTAATCAGATTGAAATAGGTTTAGCTCTATTTCTTTATTAATGCAGCCAAAGCATCATAAAATTGGCATAAGCAAAGTTCAGATTGTTCTATGCTGAGATTACAAGAGTTCAACGACATCAAAAGTCAAGATTGGACAAACATAGACGAGGCTTGTGATGTTAGAAACAATCAAAAGAAAAACCCTTGCAATCAATTTGAGAGTTACTAATTATCAGATATTCATAGCAAAATTAGGATATCTGGAAATATTTTTCTACAGAACGTAGCAAGAGAGAAACAAAAGAGATACTATTGTTGATAAGGCATATTTTGGACCTCGGTCACGTCATCAGCGAACGCGGGCTCCAGAGACATGCACCAGGCGTCACGTTACACCCCAGCAGACTCAGCACAAGGGGCCGCCTTCCTCCCACATCCCGCCGAGGCCCGTACGATAAGGCGTTCAGTTGGCAAGTCCCGTTCCGAAAAGCTCGAGACGGCGCCACATGGTGCCGTTCCGCGCATACCGGACAACGGCCGCACGAAAGTACAAACTCACCACGGGGCGGGGGGTGGGTTGAGGAGGGGTGGGGGGTCGACTGATATACCAAATCCACGTACGACCGATCCTCGGACAACAGCATAAAAGCCCCTGGCCGGCATCTGGCCAGGGGAGAGAAAAAAGAAGACAAAACCACTTACTTAATCTATGAGGGGCCCAAGTCGGGAATCTCCCGACCCAGGCCTGTGTGCAGGAACCCGGCCATCCCCGAACCGGCTCCATCCCATAACCGAGACGCGACCATCCCGATCTCTGATCCAGCCCGATCTTGGCACTTCCTCCGACCGATGAGGGACACCCCCGGTCGACGGGAACTCCGGACATCGACCCGTGGACCAAGCCGTGCTGACTCCTCGGCCACGGCACGTGAGTTCACTAACAATTGTAGTGTTTCCCATCACGTGTTGCCCAACAAAGGAGAGCTTCGTTGTGTTGCTTACTCAAACATCTCTCTCTCTAACATTTCATCAAGCAGTAGGCAAGCGCAGAACAACGCGGGGGGAGGGGGGGATCAAGATACCGGGAGACGCGACACTCGTGGAAGGATGCAGATGAGGTGGAGGCAGAGGAGCGGAAGCAGTCGACGACGCTGCCGCCGCCGCCGCCGCTAAGATCGCCCTCTCCCTCTTCGATACGTATCTTCCGGAGGGCTCCGGCGGAAAGACCAGCGGTGGGGAGGGGCTCTGAGGAGGAACATACGCTTCCGATCGGAACCTTTTAGGAGCAGGCAGAGGGCGCTGCAGGGGTCTGTGTTGGCGTTGGCGTTGGCCTGTGTCTTCTTCTTGATCGGAGGGGACGCCGTAGGCGTTCCAGAGAAGATCCATGACGCGCCGGACCGGGGAAACCCCACCGAGCCGAAGCGTGAAAAATGCGGTCACGAGAACAAAGGTTGCGGAAACCGAGATCGTCACAACAACGGAGACCACCTCGGGGATCGGCGTCCGGCCTTCCTAACCCGAGCACGATTCGATCTAAACAAGCAATTCCCGTAGTAAAATTCGTGGAAGGAAAATTTATTAAAAATAAAATTTTAAAACATAATGATGGAAATTAAATATAATATAAAATTTATTTTAAATATTATATTAGTTTAAACGATTTAATATTATATATTGATAGGTGACTAATGACTTGATCGACACATGTGGACGAGACGAGATTGACAAACTGACTGCTCCAAAGGCTACAAAGATGAGATACGGTTGATATCACGTAGACAATACACAATCGACACATCGACAACCTGAGGCCATGTTGATGGTATGTGATCAATGGCATGTGCTACTAGACTAGATCAGCTAATCAAGGCATATCCCGGATTCGACACACCCTGACACCATATGCTCCTAAAACAGGTTAAGCCAATCAAGGCATCTCTTAGATTCAACGCACTTCACCACTACTGCTTTGATTTGTTTTGGGAACAATAATTGACCATGATCTTAGAGGCAATGATTCTTAAATCCTTTATAACAAGAACTTCTTAGGTGTATTTCCCACATGTATTGAAAAAAATCTTAGGAGCTTGTCTGTTTTATTGGAACCATCTAAACTCAATATTATTTTATTGTGAAAGTGATATTTATTAAAGATACCACTGACTTAGTTTACTATACTTGATAGTGCCATGAATACTTTCAAATGACACATAACTCATAGCGTTATTTAATAGTGTTTAACAAAGAATGTTGGTGTGCCGACATTACTCTGACTTGTAAACTTTTCGTGACTTATTTTTGAATATACAAGGGGAGATGTGGCTATTGTTTAGCTACTCATGAGAGTTTCAAAGTTAGTGGAGCACCTTTCAAACCATAAGAGTTAGAAGGAGAGTTTTTTCCTCGTAAGTTTTGGTTAAGATTGGAGGTTTAATTTTGCATGATCGGCATATTACATAGATAACCTACCTCTTTATGATTTGTCCTTTATCCAGTGGCATCTCTTCGGATTTGTCCCGAAGGAAAATTTGTCTCAATTGTGGAAAGGGAGAGATTGGCTCCCTTTCTATAAATCTCCCTTTATCTTGTGGGTGAGGTTCATTCCAAATTGGTCTTATACCATTGTGCTCTTTCGCCTCCTTAGGTCGGGATATCTATCCTTTCTTATACAAGCTTCTCTTGATCTAATGGTCATTCGATGGTCGAGGTCCATGTTCTATCTTTGGACAACCCAAGAGCGAAAGAGGTCCCGACCTTCCTTTCGTCAAGGGAGGCATTTCTCGTGAACCTAAAGATTCTTTGAGACTTAAGAGTTCATCAAAAACTTATCTGACTATGATTCAGTGATGAGTGTACCACTTCTAGATCACTTGCGGGCTAAATATTCTATCCCAATTAAATTTGACTTACAAGATTCCCAACCTAGTCAATGTCCATTTGACCTCACATCCGAGTCTCATTGTTTATCTTACGATACCCTTGAGGCAGGACTTTGTCTTCTCCTTCACCTGATGATAATGTCTTGCCTATAATGGTGGAAGACATCACCCTCTCAAATGACAGCCAACTCATAGTGCTATCTAATAGTGTTTAACGGAGAATACTGGCATGACAACATTACTCTGACCTATTAACTTTTCATGACTTATTTTTGAATATACAATAAGAGAAGCGGTTATTGTTTAGCCACTCATGGGGGTTTCAAAGTTAGTGTAGCCCCCTACCAACCATGAGAGTTAGAAGGAGCGTTTCTTCCTCGTAAGTTCTGATTAAGATTTAGGGTTCAATTTTGCATAATCAGCGTATTACATAGATAAACCTCCTCCCCCCCCCTTGTTGGACAAGGAGATGGGTAAGTACTTCGGTTGAGGGATATACTCTTTTTCTCTAAGGTCATTCAAAAGATAGATAAATACTGGCTGATTGACGTAGATCTCAACTTGACTCCTCAAGATATGACCCACACCTCTCATTACTTCACCTCACCCCTCTTTTTAACGCTCTATAGCCTAATGATTTTGATCATCTACAAGTATGAATTTGCACTCCTTGAATAGGAAAGTGCTTGGCTCCTCTTCGAACATAACAATGGCCTCTTTAGCTCCAACTTGTCTGTGAGTCATCACTTGAGGCATCAAGCCCAAGTTAGTTTGGCCATCATGCTAGCACCGACAAGCCGAGGAAGAAGTAGGAGATCATCATGAGGAATGTGCTAGTCATATGTGCCCTACAAGCCAATCACGCGAGTGATGGTATGTGTAACTTGACATATAATCTTTTTTTTTATTATAATTATTTAATATTTTATTACTTTATAATGCATATTGCTTGAATATATTGTGATATTCATGGATCTGTGCAATGAGAATCGAATCGTGATGAGATCACGATAATGAGACTAATTTACCTTTAAACATACATCATAAATAATCCCGGCCATATGTTACTCTAGAGAGACATTGAGATAACCGGATAGACTTGTGTGCTATATACTCATCCATATGATGGATGCAACTAGTCTCATAGCTGCTTGTGTGGGGACATTAGAGATATAGTACAAGTGCTCATTGGAGAATGAGTTTATTGATTGATCCGCTTACGAAATGCTAGATGGTTGATGATGTCTTATTGTTAGACAGCGATTTCAGAGTTCTATTGGTATATTTGGTCCTTAGACTTGAGACACCAAGAATGTCCTGTATGAGTACTTCACTCTTTGATACTAGACTTATAGGTCTAGAGGTTACACATCTAACATAGCCAGTCATCGAGAGTGGTAGTCAACCTTATGAGGACTATTGAGTATCGATAAAGGATCATTCGTTCTTGGTGTCATGAGAGGAATATCTCATATGTTTTTGTTCAAACAAATCCCTAACTAGCGTCATTCAAATTGAGAGAGAAAGAGTTCTTTGAGAGAATTCGATTAGAGCGAAACTCGAGTAGAAACCATATGGGTATGACAGCACCATTCCTGGTATACGGTCTCTGGGATATTAGATGGATGAGGGAATATAAGTATACGGTAATTGAGGACAGATAGGTCAAATAGATTGGATTCTCTTATATCGTTTAGGGACTGTGGCGTAGTGGCCTAGTACGTCCGTAGTCGATGAGTTGAGTGGATTATTATGGAGATAATAATCCACTAAGTCAAAAGGAGTTTTGATAGGTATGACTCACAATCAGCTCGATATTGGGCCTAGAGGGTCACACACATTTGATAGGCGTTACGATGAGTAGAAGTTCGGATATTAGATATCTACTAGAGCCCCTATCTTATTGGATATCCAATAAGCTCCTAAATTATTGGATCCTATGGATGAGATTTAATAAGAGCTAATGAGAGATTATTGGATAGAGATCCACTAATCTAAGAGGCATGGGTAGTTGGATAGAGATCCAATATTCAATATGACAGGATCCATTAGGGTTATGTTGACAGGAGACCTCTATAAATAAAAGGGAACTAATGGTTCATAGGCTAGAGCCTCTCTAGGTTGTCATCTCCTATTCTCATCCCCTTCTCCTTCTCAAATAATAGGCCTAGAGATTTGAGGAGCATCGTTGCAGTCTTACTGTATGGATCACCGCTAGAGAGGAGTGCGCTTGACCTCCTTCACCATCTCATACGGATCTCTAGGGATTTAGAAATATATAATCTCCTAGATAATACAATCTTTAATATACGTAGTTTTAAGCTTCATAAATTTTGCACACCAATCTTCACACAACGACGAACACATCTTTGAAAAATTTGAGGATTTCATTTTTATGTCCTTCCACTATGCATGTGATGTTGCCCCCCTATATTTCCCTACAAAATGTGCCCTACCAACGAAAGGGTGAGGAACCCAAAGAGTTGTCCCCAGAAGGGGTGTGTCCATTGTCCTTCAAAGGATCTCTAAAATTCTAGATTCTCTTTAGAGAAAAGAGGGGATAGACTGAGGTCAATGTTTAACTTATGTAAGGGCAAGTCCCTACCCTTTTTAGCTATACAAATAACTGATTTATCATTAGGAGCAAACTTGTGAGGCTTTTATTTCACTGGACATGCCTCGAAAGAGATGTTCGGGTGATGTTGGGTTACATCTAGGTTGATTCCTGGCATATCTCTTGGTGACCATGCAAACATCTTAGTGTTCACCCTAGAAGTAGTAGTTGGATCTATCTCTCTTTGCTAACAGAGTCTTCATCGATTAAGGGTCTTTAAGAATCCATTTACTTTTATCTATAAAAAGATTCAGTTCTAGCCATATTTAAGGGGGTCATCACGGACCTCGAGTGAGGCGACTCAGGTCATTTATTTTTCCTTCATCGCAATGACCTTAGGGTCGGGGTGAGATATAGTTGCTCTTGTCTTGGTCTTTGTAAGTCTCTTCACGTTAACCCGAGACCATTACCTTAGTAGTAATATATTGATAACCCTCTAGAATACCTTCGATACTATTATCAGTGACCTTTCTACTAATAACTAGAAAATATGAGAGGGTGGTTTGTATCACAAATAACAAACGAGCATCTTGCACACCTCAAATTTTATTGGTGAACCGAACAGCAAAGTTTGAGAGTATTTCCTCCTCTCGTTATCTAAGTTCAAAAAGTATTATTGTCGATAACCTCGGACATACATTCCTGAGGAAGTGAAACTCGAACTACCTAGTGAGTTGAGCTAAGGAACTGATAGAGAGTAGCTTTAGATGAGCATACCATTTTTGTGCTAGGCCTCTTAACATGGTCAGAAAGGCATGATACATTAAGGTGTCTAAAGTGTCATACAATGATATTTAGGCATGAAAATAGTGATATGCTCCGCCAAAGGCCTCCAACGATGGGAGATAAAAGTTGCTAGAATCGACTCCTCCTAGATATCCTTAGTGAATGGCGATTGACCCGAGGTGGGGTTGGCTGACCCTTCCCCTTTAGATTATTGGAATTCTCATCGCATCTCTTCCAAGCGTTGGTTCATTTGTTATAGTTAGATCCTCAAGAAATCTTCCATTGAATCTATTGATTGGGTTTGGGATTCAAGTGGAGCGAAGTGGCGATGTGCTAGTCTGTTGAAGT